ATCTCAAACCGCTAAGCCTATTTCCTGCGTATTAGCATATTGATGTGTGCGTGTTTTCATGCCTCACTTTCCACGGAAGAAATATTTGGAAACGGAAAACAGCAAAGCTCGACATCTCGGGTCCAAATCTAGTCCCGGTGATTATTTTTAAAAGCCCGTCGACACATTGCCGTTATTTAGCCGATAAATAGACCGCGGCGCCGACAACGGGGAGGAACGTGCCCGCGCAACGCCCCGATGATGCGCCCGCAGCGCGGCGCGAAAGGCGCGTTCAACTGAGCTCTGCTTTACCGGGCCAAAGTCGCCCCCGTGGCTCTGTAATAATGCGGCATCGACCAGCTTAGAAATGAAACAAATAAATTCTGTTATTGATGAGAGAATTATCAGCCGCCCCGCCCCTAATTATTCTTTGGGCTCCAATCAATGAATGCCGCGTCTCATTTAGCCTAGCGGCGTGGCGAGGCCTCAGCGGGGAGATTCCATCACGCTTGACGTAGCATCTGGAAAGCTGAAGTTGTAACGGTAGAAAGAGCAGATCGCGCGCAAGAGCCAATGACCTCGCCAGCAATAGAGGCCACGACGAAGAAATATATTGTTTTTGTTTGCATTCAATCACAGGTACATCGTCATATATTTTTACAATTGTTTTTTTTTTTCCACGTGGTAGGGTTAAGAAGGGTCTTGAAAATGGCTGGCAATTCATGACTTAAATAGCCTTCATTAAAAAAATAAAAAATAAAAGCCATACCCTTCAAAAGTTGCGCCGTTTGTTGTTTTTTTTTTTTAAATGTCAACGATTATTTGTTGAAAATACATTTGAAAATATTGTACATCTTATGATTGGTTCGTTGCAAGACATGCACCCCAATCTGAAAATGATTTATTATTATTTTAGTATCCTTATGATTATTAGTTGAAAACGATAATACTTTTCAAGAGCAGCATACGTACTCAAATAAAAAATCGACACGCTCTTCCGAATTTGAAAACGACTCTTCGTCAACATTTATGATGTTTAATTTAGTATGATTGTATCCATGGTGGTCATGGTCCGTATTTTTGAATAGAATTATTCGTCAGCGTAAAACTCAGTCTCCAAACAATATTGTGGCTTCTAATTTGCAAGCAGCAAACAGCGGCGCCCTCCCCATTAGGATGCGCGAGCGCGCACACGTCTGGCCGTGACGGCCCAATTAAAGGTAATGCTCGCTGGCACACACTGGCTGCAAGGAATCAAGCAATAAAAGAGGAATCAGCTCCGTCGCAGCCAGACAAATCTTGAAGTTGGCTCAGACCACGGCCTATCTT